AATGCCTCATTGAATTTGGTAAAAACAGAGTGTATTTACAGAATTGAGTCAGCACAATGTTGGTTGCGATATGTTCCTAATACCCGCCATCGATAGAATTTTAAAATTTTATAAACCTTTAAAAAATATTTCTTAAATAAAGATTATAAAATTTTGAAATTTTTTTTCAATAATGAATGGCAGAGGTATATTTAGAAATGATTTCACATGTAGGAAATCTACTACATGCTGTTAATGTGTAGTTGCAATCAGAAGAATCTTAATAAAGATTCACAAAATTATGCTGAAGATGTGTTCATCTTTACAATTAATAATTGACAATAAATTTTATAACTTCCTAAAACTTAATTATATTATATATTTATATAATAGAACTAAATGTTTACCGTTGTTATTGAGATATTTATAAAATTTCTGGCATGATATATTATATATTTGTTTAACCATTAGCTCGGCCTCTAATGTTGTTAAAGTAATCATTTCTCTCTTTTTCCCAGGTGGTCCTCATCAGGCCAAAAATGCGCTCGGATGAGGCATTAGAATGAGGTAAGGAGAAGATATACTCGCATATTTTTTTCCAATCATGGAGATTTATCGTTATTACGAAAAAATTCTACCCATTTTTCCTCTGCTTTTAGACCATCTAACTTTAAGTATTTTGGCGAATCATAAAAAATAGAGAGAATTACAATCTCCTCAAACAAGATATCAATGTCTTATGGTATTTTTAATATATTTATTAAATTATAAAAACCATCAATTAATGGTTTCTCTTCCAAGGTCATAATATTTATACATTTGTAAATAGAGTTATTAAAATCAAATTTTGATTGTAAATATTCTAAAATTGTCTTAATAAAAATATCTGCTTCATTTAAAAATGTATTAATTAGATTATTGTTTGAACATTTTATATTTTTAGCAATAGCGCCATAAAATTTATTATCAATTTTTAACTATAGAGATGAACATAGCTGTATTTTGTGAATCTTTTTTAATAAAGAGTATTCTGATTGCAAAGGAATATTAAGTGCATAAAGTAGATTTCCTACATGTAAAACGAATCCCAAATATGCTTCTGCCATTTCATACTTGAAAAAAATTTTCAAAATTTTAGGACAGCTTTTAAAATCTCTATTTAAGAAGTATATTTTTTAAGGTTTGTAAAATTTTAAAATTCTATCGATGGCAGGTATTAATGACAACATCTGATATGTATATATCGCAACAACTCACACCATTCCAAGTCAGACCACTTCATCAACTCTTTTAATTCATTAACTCTTTTAGTTGATAAATTAAATTCGTTAAAACATTTCATCACAATTATTTCGACATCCTCAGATAGTATATTCGTTGCCTTCTTGTTAGAATTATGTAGTATATGGCATATACAGCCAATAATTCATTATTGTGCTGCGATTCGGTAACTTTGATTTTAGCCAAAATTTACAGAAGCATTATCAGCGCAGAAAGCTGACATGCAAATCATTGGTAACCCTGAATCAGCTATATTTACCTTTATGTGGCTAGCTACATTTTTGGACTTTTCAATATCCGAGGAAAAATTTTTAATAGTTTTATTGAAATGTTCTTATTCTTGTTGAAATAGCGAAGGATCGAGGAAAATGTTTTAATATTTCCCTATTAAATGCATCTGTTAGAATTGCATATGGATGCCCATCTTTCAAATCGTCTAGAATTGACCTCTAGGATTCAGGTACTAAAACACTTGTGATAGCCTTGCACATTTTTGTTCTGCCACAAGTAAGGTTTGCACTTATATTGGAGTCGTTAAATATCATGAGAAAAAGCTTCGACCCACATTGTGATGATATAACTCTGTGAATGTTGAACTAAATGATAGATGTATACGATTTCCACAAATGTATTTGCATCTGTATTATTTATTATTTTTGAGAATATTTTTGTATTGCAATCGATGTAGATAACTCTCCTGTACTGACTTATATGAATGAAAGATTTATTATTGGATAAAAATAAAACAGGATAGAAAGAAATTTACAAAATAGACATGTTTGAATAAATATTTAAAATTTATTTTAAAAATATAAAAATAATCAATTAATGTCTCTCAAAATTATTATTTATATATTAAAACCGTTAAAATACTAAAAAAAAAATTCGGGAAAAATTAAAAAAATGCGGTAGATTTTTACAGGAGATTTCTAATTACGCTAGTTTTGCGGGAGAGAGATGTCTGCGTGTAAACTAAAAAATTGTGGGAGTCTCCCGCTGATGGGGGGAGACATGGCAACCCTGTATAGGTATTATTATGTTAATAATTATAAAATAAAAATGTATAATATACTTTAATATGTTTAACAAAGTTTGTAAAGGAGTTTGTTGAATCTATAATAACTTTTTTACTTGTGCAATTTTGACATTCAGGTGTACCTTGTTCTTTTTCACATAAATTACTAAATTTTTCATCTAGAATTTTAAGATTCGGATTTGATTCAGGAGAACCTATCCTTGTAATTTCATCTTCACTACTATGATTGTTAAACATTCTACAAATTAAAAAATATTACATGTAAAATATATCCTTCTCCTATTTAGTTTTGGTGTTGTTATTTTTAATCTATCTATCTTTGTGACCTCTCCAACTAATTTTGGTTATCAATATATTTAAAATATAGAGGGAAAAAATAAAGAAAATAATACAAGATTTCACGAAGAAAATAAAGTTACATTATGTAAATGTTTTAAACATGAATATTAAAAAGAATCTGTATATTTTTAAAGAGAATTAAAAAGATACAAGATTCTTTTCAAAATAAAGGATCTTAGATACAGATACTAGTATCTTATTAAAAAAATAAGATACTGAGTACAAGATACAAGAGGATCTTGTATCTTAGATACAAGTATTCGCGGTACTGCCCAACTCTGATTATAAGCTATTTAAAAAATATATATTAACCCTTCTAGGCCAGGAATTTTACACTTGCCCTAGCCAATGACAATTTTATAACTTAAAATTTTACTACCCATATCAAAAATGCTCCCCCTTTGCACATTTAAAATATCCTCCCCTGCTTCTTTCCTAATTTTATTCCCTAGCCCCCTCCTATTAAATTAAAAATATTCCACTGCCTCCCTTCAGTTTTATTCATATGACGATAGGATAGTGTTTTCATACTTACACTCCTCACCAATTTCAATAGCAATCTTACGTCATTAATACCCCCTATGTATGGAATAAAAGTCTCTGCCGAGCAGCATGTGACCTTTATCCTAAGAAAGTATTTTGATTTGTCTTTGCATCCATCAGGATATGAATGTGAAAAATTCGAATTAGAAGCAAAACACTCATAGCCATGGCCTGCTTTGTTACTTGCGTAAACACTATGCCGTTTTAGGGACAACAATTTTAAAATAAAATCTAAAAATTTAGTATAAATTTATTATTAAAACCAGATAATCATTTTTCTAGAATGAATATTTATCGACCACATAACTTTTATAACTCGTCCCGTATTTATGTAATAATATTTAAATAGAAATAATAAATTTAGGATGAATGTACCAAAATTATTAGACACCTTAGAACGCTATATAAATTTCTAGATTGCAGCCAGATTGTATATATTTCGAAAGGGAAAGATGCAGATGGAAAATGGAAGTCCAGATATAACGGAATATTTTTTTAAAAAAATTTTAACCTGATAAAAGAAGTGGACCTGCAACATACCAATATTTTGGACTCAGACCATGGAAAGAAAAACATTTTATGGGAGCAATAATTCTGGCATCCCTTTCCTTTGGAATTCTATTGTGGCAGACTTCAACTGATTTTGATTTTACCCCACCCGACTCGGACATAAAAATAATTTCATATTCCCGACCCAACTTGACTTAAAAATCAAATTGTAAAAAAAAATTATCATAATTTATTTAGTATGTTATAAGAAATAAAATTGACAAAATATTAAATAATATATAATCAAACCATGATTTATCAATATCTTACTGATTATATCATAAGAATATTTCCAAAACAAACCTAATCTAGCTAAAAAAAAATCTTAACTCGAAATAAAAATTAACTACAATAACTCTTTTCAACCCAAGTGTCGGATCTATCCTTTGGAATTTTGCAGACCTTTAGAAAAAGGTATTGACGAAAAACTAAAATTATGAAAATAATTTGAAATTTAAGAATGTGTTAAAAATTCAACGAGATTAACCATAGCAATGGATCCATTGATCTTGAACAGAGATTTTTGCATATCTTGCCTCTTCCAGAATTTTATTAACAATTCTGAAAATGTTACATCAACCATTTTTTTTCAATTTAAAATGAATTTTTCTAAGCTTATATTAAAATGGAAAATATTAAGATAAAATTATTCAAAGATTGACAGAAGATGGAATGGTTAAGTAAAAGATTTAAACCTATTTGTTATAATTTTGGAGAAAACTATTATTCTTAAAAAATCTTGACGAAAAATTGATGGAAATTCAAACCAGTATATGACAAAAATGTTGTTGATGGAGAGAAGGGTTTATTTAAAATAATGAAAATTTTAGAATTTATTTTTAAAATAATAAAATATAAAATCCTCAAAAATTATGACAAAATTAGACTATTATAGCAAATATTTCTAAATTTTTTAAAATCAATATAAAATGATGAATCATTCTAGGAATTTATTAAAATGGTGACTGTAAGTAATATACGTCCATAGAAGGTAGGAAAGAATTGCTTCTCTTCTCATTTTTGTTTAAAAAAACAGAATAGATAGAACTCAACTATTTCCCGAGCCCAAATCAGTGAATGAACTCGAACCTTTAAAAAACCTGAATCAGGAGTAAAACCTATGGTAGAGAAGCCATAGATTTAAATGGTAATTTGTAAAATATTAGACATGTGTAGGACTATTTCTTTAATAAGGATTAACTTTTGAAAATAATTTATTCAATAAATTACATAAATTCAACATAATATTTATATCATATACAAAAAAAACGACTTTTATTTTTTTTTAAAAGATCATAAAATAAATTATAAAAAAGGATCAAAAGGGTATACAAAAATAGATTTCGATTAAAATTTTCTATTTTTTTTCTTTAGAATCCTTTGTGGTATCGTTATCATCGCCTTTTTTGATTATATCCCCAGAAGTCGCTGGTATATTTTTCTGTAATAAATATTTCTGTAGTTTGACTAAAATATCATTGTTTAAAATCTTTTTTAAAAAAGTTAAAATTATCCTGATCCAAATGGATTATATTAATTACTTCTATATATTTACAAAAAAATTTCCGATTTAGATAACGCTAATATATTTTAACTCAAAATATGCTAAAAATATAATTTAAAAGGAGTATAGTGTTGTTAAAGGGCACGATTTTACAAAAAAAACGGCTAACACAATATTTTAGCCCAAAAAATACTATGCAAGCCTGGAGATTTCGTTAATAGATAGCAGGAATGTCACCCATTAACGAAATCAAAATGGCCTAAATCGAGCCATTTAACAACACTAAAAATATTTTTAAAGTGAAAGGAATATAATTAAGCTAAAATTGATTTCATGTTTTAAAACTTGAACTTTGGAGCTCTGCGGACTCTCCATCGCGACATCCATATTTTCATCCTGAACAGCTATATAATAAGTTTTACAAAATTATTTTCTCTAAAAAAAAGGATCATTCAAAAAGGGAACTCCAACGTACGCTGTTTTTTTTAAAATGCTCACCAGCTAATAAATTCTAATTAGACGGATGGTTAGGGAACAAAACTAGACTACCCGCCCACTGTTTTTAAAAATGGGTGGGTGTGGGTTAAAAGAATATAACATCGATGTGGATAAAAATAAGATTTTACCTATTTCCCCAAAAGCAAAGAGAATTCAACTAAAGGGTATTAAATTATAAATTCAATGTTTAAAAATAGATAGCATCCACGTCAAAATTAAACCATAACAGATGGGAGGATGAGAGTGGAAAGCAGCCTAACCAATAAGATAACAAAATATTTAAATCCAAAAGTAAGTAGTTTGATTTTTTGATTTGTATAATTTAGCAAGATATCAACTACTTAGTTTAGTTACGATTTATATTTTAAATTTATTACTAATTGTTTCAGTTTTTATTTAAAGATCTTAATTGAGGAAAAGGATATAATTTTAAAAAATATCCTGTGGAAAGAAAAAATATATATATACCAAAACTATCAAAATTTTGGCAATTGGAAAACAAAGAATAACGTGTTAGAATTTAGAAAATGTGAATTCATTATTATTTTTGCATTATAATCACAAATAATATCAATGAATATTTAATTTTAGATTTTTTTTCATAAATATTTTTATTTTGATCAAATAAATTTCTTATCCGCCCATTTAAATTGAATATTTTTTTTAATGTTGAATATAATAATTTCTTAATATATAAAACTTTTATGTAAGGGGTAGAAGCACTGAAACGGAATCATTTTTTTTTATTAGTAGCTTAAAAAATTGGAAAAAAAATATGTGAATATTTAAATTTTATATTGGCGGGTTGTGGATTAAATTTTTTTTAGATAATGGGCGGGCGGCCAATATTTTTTAGACTAATGGGCGGGTGCGTATTATTTTAAAAAAACTTAGAGCGGGTTACATTTTTCTAAAAATGGACAGGTGGGATTGTTGGCTAAAAAGGACAATAAGAGTGGTCTGTCTAAGTTTTATTTCGATGCATAGCCTTTCATTGTTAAGTTATTTTTTTTAATTTAGATGCGAAAGTGGTGGAGGGGAGGGGGCTGCTATTAATTTGTGGATCTTTTTTTGTTATTAAAATTATAAAGCACCTTTCGCTTCGCTGCATTTATAGTAAGCGCAATTCGCTCAAAGCGATGCGAAATCAATTGCTAACAAAATCACAGCAAATTCATGGTCTTAATATTACTTGTTGAAATATTAGAATTTATAGAAGAAACATTCGTTTTTGAAATATTAGCAAACAGCTGTAACGATTTCATCATTTCGCTCAAGTAATTTTAAATCACACCTCTTATTGGCTTGATTATGTAAAGTAGTAGCGAAAAATTGCTTGAACGAATCGCGCTTATTATAAAGCAGCCTTAATTAAATAAAGAGGGATAGATTTTAAAGTTCAAGAAGCTTCACTTCAAAACCAAGGCTACATGTGGGTTTTGTATTGAACCGAATATGAGTTGAATATAAATTATAGAAAGGAGAAAATTTATAATCCCTGATGAATCATTGAGTTATCAATGAAGACACCATATTTTCAGATTGGGATAATGTGATGACAATATTATAAATGATTTTGATATAATTTTTTTTAAAAAAAGACATAGATAAGCTTATATAAGTTAAAAGATTATTATTATTATATGATAGTTGTAAATCAGAAGTGAAAGAGTATAGAACACCTAAAAATTATCATTTTCTTTGATTACGATCAAGAAAATAATAAAGACAATTTAACGATAATTGGCATCATGATATAATACTACAATGATAGTAGGTTATACGCTCAGGTCCTGCCCGCCCCTTCCCCAAAAGTTTTTATGCTCTCCTAATAAAATACTTTTTTAAAAAATTTTTTATTATCACCCTTAAAACCATTGCTTTCCATATTCTATTTAATAAGTTGTACATTTGATTTTTATTTAAATTAAGCTCTCTGTCAGTATTTTTTTCGTCAACTTAGTATTAGTGTTCTATACCCATTTTTTCAGATTTTTTTTAAAAAAAATGGATTTGTTGTATTTTAAATATTACCCTCAATTATATTTTAATTTTTATGGTCGATGTATAAGAATTATATTACTATAGAATTTATTTATTCAAAAAAATCATATTACAAAAGTAGTGGATTATATTTTTAAATTTTTGTAGGAAACAAAGAGCAGAATATTATCTTTGCAATTAAAAGATTATATTAAATTTTTTCTATATTTAAATAAATTCGGGCTGGGCCAAGCAGATAAATAATTTTAATTTAAAAAAAAAAAAAAATTAGGCCCGATGCAAATCATTAATAGACAAACTAAACCTAAAAAAAAAAATAAGAAATAAATATTTTCAAAAAAAACAAACTATGTTCTGGTTCAAGTGACATCTGGAGCGCTAAAGCTATTTGTTGATCGTCGCTCATGACTACATCGTTTTCGTCGGTACCATGTTTATCGGCCTTCAAAGCTGGCATAACGACAGTAGAAGGATTAAGGCCCATCGACATAGCCAGAGCTTGGTTCAATAGCATCTCTTCTTCACTCAATTGTTCTTTTTTTTGGATAAATTTGCAAATGCATTTTGAGTTGACTAAAAAAGGAAAGAGATTTTAAGTTCCGGTACCAAAAAAATTTTGAAAAAAAAAATTATTAGTTCTTAGATTTGACGCGTTTCCTTTTAAAATAACAATAACACCACATTGCGGATTATATATATATATAACTATGTTTTCTTATTAGTTTAATAAAAATTTTGACTAAAAAAATAAGCAAAATTAAAAGTGTGTTTAAAAAAATAGATCCATGGAGTAAATGATTACATTATACGATCGATATAACATCAATGTTTATTGGAGACATAAATGTTCAGATGAATGATTTAAAATAATGTAAATCACATATCATATCGTAGCTGGCCCTAACTGCAAGATCCCGTAAGTAACATTTTTCAAAAAATGTTTTTTTTGGCATTTTTTTGGCAGAAAGGTGGATATTTATAGGACCTTTATCATTACCTAAAATCTCAAGTCTTGAAACGTGTTTTTTTATCACGTTAGGGTATATCTAACCACCTCCAAAAATGCCCGGATTTAAATAATAAAACATATTTTATGAAAAAAATATATTACGAGGCCCACACAAAAGATTAAAGATTATGTAAAACTTTAAAATAACCATTAGAATCAGAGTTATTAAAGTATCTAGATACAAAAATGTGATACTGTATACTATAAACTTCATTCTTTACTTCTTCTCCAGCCCCTCACATTTTGATTACCCATTCATTCTTCTCCGCATATCTCCTTCCTCCTTCCATTTTTTCAATTCTGCCATTTAATAAATTTTTAAAAAAACCTTGCGCGTTAGAATTTTCATTGGAAGCATCGCTCATTGGCATATTACTTTCGTGTATGGTTAGCAACCCGGTTCCTTCTGTATTTTCGTTTTGCTGTTGGTTAGACCTAACCTCGGCTTGTTGTCGAGCTCTTTGCTCTTCCATCGACACTCTCAAAGCCTTTTTCAAAAAAGTATAAGTTAAAGAAATGAAATTTACTAAATTTTACCTCGTGGATAAAAGGAGAAGAGATAAATTTTGATATCATTTAATTTAAACCAACCCCTCTCGAACAGTTAATAAATATTAAAAAAAATGAAATATTTTCGTAAATAGAATAAATATGGGCCCAGCATGTAACTTACAGAATAATATGGCAAGGCAATAAAAAATAATAGAACTATAGAGGAAGATGGTATTCATAGCTAACAATTAATTTAAACAAATTTATTATATATATTTTTTATATTTAAATAAAATAATTATATTTTAACACAATTAAAGCAAATGCTATAATTAATGCTACAAAATAAAATTGCATTCGATGGTTTTAAGAAGATAGATCTAAGCAAGCCTAAATATTTTGCTCATAAGTGGCATGGATATCTATTAGCGAAATCTCGAGGCTTAAGCTTCCGGCTAAAACATTCCGTTAGCTTTTTTAAAAAATCGGCTCAAACGGGGGAAATTTTTCATCACTTAAATATCATCATTGATCCGATATTAAATATTGATGTAGCCTACAGTCCTACCAAAAGGTTTTAAATTTTTATAATTTCACATTCAATTCCTTGTGAAAGGATTCGAATAAGTAAACAAGATATTATATGTATGATATAGAGAAGGGCAAAAATGAAAATGAAGAATAATTGACGTTTCAGACATATGCTATCTAAAGTTCTTTTTACAAATAAGAACCAGTAACTTTGTCCGGTTCGTAATATAAAATTTTCTTCCTTTCTAAAAAAGTGAGATTTGCAAAACCCTTTACCGACTTGTCTAAAAAATCCGTGTGGAGTTGATTTTTAAAAAAAATCAAATTAACTAGTTGTAAAATCGCGTGATGGAACATTAAATCCTTCTTCCTCTTTTTATATTGTAGTAACTTCCCTTTGAAACCACTTACAAAACAAGATCAAAATTATAAAAAATAATTTTTTAAAAAAACTGGAGTTTAGCCTAAACAAAAATAACATTTGGGTGGGTTTAGATTTTTTTTTTTAAAAAAATTAAGGTCCACATATGACAAAACTAAATCGCCTATTATTTTAAAGCATTTTAACATTTCACGTTCCCAAATAAGTGTCCATGCTTTTTCTAAAAAATTGAGCGTTTCATATGCAAATAACGGTTCAATTCAAATTTGACCAATTTGCACGATACCATTTTAAATGCATTATTTAGCATTCAAAAAACTCTACTTGTAAAAAAAAAGAAGTAATTTTTAATTCTTAAATATAATTAATTCCACAAATCCTATGGAGTGATTAAGCTATTTTTAAAAAAAACCAGTTTTTAGTGGTTGCAAGTGGACAAATAAACAATAAAAAGTAGTAAGTACTAACCAGGGCTAATTCGGGGTCGGAATTCGGATCAATTCCGAATTCAAAGTCGCTAAGACCAGATCCGCCAGTGGCACCGGATCCCCCGGCACCAAAGGATGATGTCATCATGGCGTTGCTGAGGTTTCCACCATCGTCCCCTCGCGCCATTATGGGGGAAGTCAGGAGTGCCTCGGAAAGAACTGGACCTGGAGGTATGGTAACCAAATGGGATCTACAAATAAAAAAAACATATTGATAATATATGGGAAACGAAGTATGATTATAAAGATAAAAATGGAAAGGAGAAGTAAAATGAGATGATGAAAAGGAAGAGATTATTTGCGGATACGTATTTTAAGAAGGTCAGCCAAAGTAAGTTTTTTTAAAAAAATGGTACAAAATGGTGTGGAAGTGATGAATGAGAGGAAGGAAGTAACCTGAGAGATGAAGGAGAAAATTCGATGAAAATAAATATCAAATGAATAAAATTTTAAAAAATTATAATCTGTAAATATAAATAAAGAAATTACTAAAACTCAAACTCATTTTTCAATTAATTAGAATAAAATAATAAAACTTAACCTAAATTCTTAAATAGATCTTTTTCTTCAAATAATAATCACAAACTATTTCTTTTATTTTTATTTTTCAAAATATAATTTTATTTTCAAATATCAAAAAATCCATAAAACTATTGATATTTACAAAATAATATCGAAAAATCCATGAATATATTATATTTATTATCACTTTGCTTTTTTATTCGACCAATCAACATTAGGCATTATTGACGTCTATATAAAAAAATATTGTAACTTTTATAAAAACTAGGACAATCTGGTTTTTATACTTTTGAGTTAGAGATATTTCTAATTTACATACATGTGTAGTCATATAGTATGAATATGATTGGAATCAAATAAAGGACCTTATTAGCATATTAAACCTTTAAAAATAACAACACTAAGATTGAAATCAGAATAATGGTGTTTGATCTTTTATGGCATATGGAATAGAAAAATTTAATAATTCTTTTTTCATATAAAAAAAATTAGAAAACATAAAAATTCAAGAGCAAAACTATCTGCAAAACAGTGTAGTATATACCTCTATATATTTAGACCCCGAATATCAAGTTCTAATGAGTAGAGCAAAACTTATGGTTAATGATTATCTCAAAAAATTATAGCATAAGCAACACTTCATTCTTTACAAAATATGTATCCTATATTTATATTAAAAATTTTACCCCTTTCTGGAAAAGTTATGTGCAGGCCCAGATCAATGCTGAGCCCAGATATAATGGGCCATAAAAAAAATATACCCAGGCCGGTTTAAATTTTTTTTAAATAGCCTTGATTGGGTTGGCTAAATTAATATTTTTACAAACCTGGGATGGAACAATAATTGGCATTTCTGTAGGTTTCTTATACAATTTTTTAAGTTATTCAAATAGAGTTTAATTAACATTCAACGAATTATGGTTCAGCAAAAATATAACAAATCAAATTTTTTTTATTATTTAAATTGCAGCCACCCCACCCCTGTAAAAAGATGTCACAAGAGTGAGTCTTGAAAAATGGGAGCAAAATTATCTGATTTTTTATAAGAAAAATTTGAGGAAATTCTGTTAAAAAAACAATGGGAAAAGAGAAAGAAAATAGATGAAATTAATATTTACCGGAAGATACCATAATTTTAAAATCAAAGTTTGCAGGGGGACAAATATCTATAAAACTCATTGAGATAGATGTGGTTGAGGGAATTAAGTAATAATTATTTTTATTATTGTAAAAAAATAAAAAATTAAGATGGCTGTTCATAAATTGGATGTGAAATACATGAAAAAAACACCTTTTTTAAGAAAGAAAATTAAAAAGCCTTTTATTGGCAAATTATAGATTATCTAATGGAGTAATTTTTTACTTCTATATTTTAAGTGATTAAATAAAAAAAATTAAATTTATGGTTTCTTATTACTATATACAACTAAAAAATTATTATTAGTATATTCTAAAATATATTGAAGACTCCTTGATGGTTATGAATTCATTCATATATTAAAAAAAGTAATAATATGACAGGCATATTAAGAAACTTCCCCGAGGCAAATGAACCATCTTTCCTTCTCCCTCGCCTTCATTTAAGCTAACTCCCTTTAAGATGGGCAAGTAAATAATATTCTCCCTTTCATCACGACTATATATATATTTTTTTTTAATATACTCCATAACTTTGACCCTAATACATGGATATACATATATTTTTGCTTTTCCCCTATTATGCATTCCCATTACTCTATGACAAGGATCGTGTACTATCCCCTTTTGTTGCATATTTACGCATCCCTCCTTATTTGTTTTCTGCTGATTGAAACCCTCCTTTGTCCCTATTAACCTTCTCGCCCCGACCTGTACTGCAATTTTTTCACTATCATATAGTCACAAATTCTCACAGTACCTCGCTACATGACCACCCTTTCGGCACTGAAAACATTCCGTATTTTTCTCCTCCCCTTTGACTTTATCCCGCTCAATTGTCCGCACATATGAAGCACTGGGAGCCATTTCTCTCTGGGAAAAACCGCTTTTATTGAAATTGCTCACATTAGATTCCTCCTTATCATGCTCAAATCGACCACAACCCGCGCATCTTAATCTCTCTTGCTTACCTGGACAATAAGGAGCTATGTCCCAACTTCCCACAACCAAAACATTTTTCCTCGAGGCAATCTCTAAGCATAATGGTTTACCACAATTACAACAACTCATTGCTCCTCTTTCTCGCGGCACAAAATTTTGTCTTATCTCCAATCTTCTTTCCCAAGAATTCTCTCTGGGCTCTCTATACGGTCGTAACTCTTGATTACTATCGAAATTTCGTTTATCAGGACCATATAAATTTCTACTTACATCACTATCCGTCCACCCCTTAATTAATTCCTAAACAGGTAACCAAGTTTAACTATATATATATCGTAATAATAATATCCCCCCAAAAAAAACAATTATCTAATATATAAATTTTTACAAATATTATTTTTTCACTTTCACCACATGTCCACCCCCTAATTCTTTATTCATCCCCCTTCCTCCGGCCCGAACACAAACTCCAACTCCAAATCTGACATGCCAAACTCCAACCAGTCCAAAAATTCATGTGAAAGATACTCCTCATTCCACGACTCCATCGCGTTTATTTCTCTGAACTCACCATGCACTGCTATCACCGAATCTTCACCGATGGCTGTCTCTCCCACGCTTCTCCTTCCGGTCTCTGCGCCCTCCCCGATATCCGGATTGTCATTCCCCATCTCCTCTTGTCTCCAAATGTCATCGTTTTCCCCACCCGCATCGCTGGCCTCACTCAGGCATTTCCCCCGCTGCCTTTGTATCACTTACTGGTCTTTGAACGTCACTCCTCGTGTAGCCACAATCCCTTTTCGCATTCGTATCTTGGAGACAGTTACTTCTCAAGTGACCCATCCTGCCACACCGAAAGCACCTGCTTAAATTAACAAAATTGTTGTTTAAAGTAAATAAGAACGTATTTTGTAAAAAATAGAATTAATTAGAGTGCATTACCTATATTTTTAGAATAAAGATGCAGCGAATGTGAATATGAGAAGATTTCGAGATCCAGCTAATTGTAAGACCTCGGTAGATCTCGGACTCATGGATGAGAAGAAGGGGTGGGGAATATCGCAGACACCAACCAGCAATGGAGAGACGCCAGTGTTTCCGGTGTGGCAGGATGGGCCACTTGAGAAGTAACTGTCTCCAAGATACGAATGCGACAAGGGATTGTGGCTACACGAGGAGTGACGTTCAAGGACCTGTAAGTGATACAAGGGCAGCAAGGGAAATGCATGAGTGGGTATCGCCGATATGGGCCAGCAATGCGGGTGGGGAAAATGACAATTGGAGACAAGAAGAGACGGGGAATGACAATTCCGATGTCGGGTAGGGCGCAGAGACCGGAAGGAGAAGCGTGGGAGAGACAGCCATCGGTGAAGATTCGGTGATAGCAGTGCATGGTGAGTTCAGAGAAATAAACGCGATGGAGTCGTGGAATGAGGAGTATATTTAACATGAATTTTTGGACTGGTTGGAGTTTGGCATGTCAGATTCGGAATTGGAGTTTGTGTTGGGATCAGAGGAAGGGGGATGAAGAAAGAATTAGGGGGTGAAAGTGGAAAAATAATATTTGTAAAAATTGATATAATATTGGATTTTGGATATATATTGTTATTATAAAAATAGAAGTAAAAAAAAATAATAGGCATAGGTGCACTTTTTACACATCCAAGAAATGCTCATGAATAATGAAATAACCTAACTCAGAAAGTTATTCAGTGAAAAAAGTAAACTTGCTCATTCACCAAAAAAATATGATTATAATGTAGCGATCTAATTTGACTATGAAGAACCAAGGTAAAGACGCATTATCAAATCCCTCTATCATATAAATTATCTTAAAATAACTTATGCATTAAAATGATATATTATCATAACAGCTAAATTTTATTTAAACTCAAATTTTAAACTAAGCAATTTATTTTATTAAACCATAAAAAAATGATAAAGGCATAACAACACAAAATGTGGTAAAAGAACAAAAAAAAAATATGAGATTCTTAATTATATAAAAAATATTAATAAACCTAAAAGAGCATTAAAATGATGCAAAATGATAGAAAATATACAAATCAATGATAAATATGCAAAAAAAAGCACAATAAAAATGTAATAAATATATAAATTATTTTTTATTGCCCTCAATTTATATTTAACCAAAATAGATTTTGCCCTCCACCCTAAGAATTAAAAAATTGGATAAAATAGAAAATTATATTTCTATTTGTTTATTAAAACAAAATAGCAATTAGAACTTCTTTAGGATTTAGGACAAATATTTTTTATTACACATTATTATGGTTTTTTAAATTTATCTTATAAAAATGTTTCAAATGTTAAGTTATATAAAAATTTTGAGGTGAAGGGAGAGAGACCTGGAGAGATCATACTTCAGACCCAACACTGACATGATTTTTAAATTAAAGTCCTGGACAGAATTTTAAAAAAAATTGATTTTTAAGTCTGGCCCAAATTTAAATTTTTTTATATTTTTTGGACCATCCTGGAATTCTTAATTTTTTTATTTTGAATAATTTTGCAAATTATCCAATTATTTATTTTTTAAAATTTTTCAAGCTTAATCAAGATTTTTAAAACCACATTATATTTTGGTCATTCAAGGAATTAAAAATTTGAACTGGGTAAAAAATTTAATTTTGAAAGTCTTGCTGAAGCATAAAGGTTGCCAAAACTTTAGAAATAATTTATTATGTTTGTAGGGTGGCCCCATTCGTTATGCCATTGAATAAAAAAATATTTAAAGGAATAGGATAGAAAGAAATTTGGCAGATTTATTTAGAAAAATTAATATAAAAAAGGTTAGAAAAAGATGTAATATAAAGAAGTAAAATTCTAAAGCTATATAACAGATACCTATAAATTTAAAAAAATATCCAGTTGGAATTAAAATTTAAAATATTTATAATAACCCTGTTCCTTCTTTGCCATTTAAGGTGTTTATAAATGTAGTCAGCTTTTCTGTATTAACATCAGTTTCTCCAAAATTAACAATATCCACATTGACTTTCTCTTTTTTTAGTTTTTTTGCTATTTTAACAAGCTAGATGGAAATAATAAATTTGATAGAAATAGTACTACTTCTTTATCTTCTATCTCAACAGGACTTCCAATAAATACTATAATACGCATCTTGTGATTTCTGCCTTGTCTATGTTTTAATGCCAGCTAAAAATTAACAGTATGTAAACAATAAAGTAGGATTATATACATGTGCAATTTTAATGCTAGTCAAAAAGTCAATAATTCCATTAGGTTGGACCATATGCATCTGATTCATTATCTTTCCTGAGTCGGTGGTTAAAGTAACTAGCACTTGTTTACTGAAAAAATTTAAAATAAAATATCATAAAATTTAGTTAACTCAGCCATAGTAATCAGCCCAACATTATTTTCAGGATTTGATCTAATTTTAGAGTGACATATCATATTTATAGCATCTTGTTGAGCTAATCCCCGAGTTGGAATATAATCCCCATTGCGCATATAATCACTGTTGTCTACACTATAAAGGAATAAAATAAATATTATTATATTAATAACCATAAGATTGTGCTTTCTAGAGTCATTTTCGTTGGTTGAAAAAAGTAACCAAGCTTCAAAAGGTAAAATTAAATAAAGGGCAATAATAAATAACGAAAGTTGGGTAATGGCCTAATATCGGATAATCTACAGACGGAAAAATCCGCTAACATCATAGGCGTTTTTATATATTAGTTTCTTTCAAATTTGAACTGCTATATTTTTAAGTAAAATACCGAGTATAAAATAATCGTTTCTGCTATAAACTCGGTTTAACCGATATTTTTAGCCAGTTAAAAATTGGCTTAAAAGCTAAAAACTTATTAAATACCCAATTAAATATCATAACTCATACAATTCTACACTAGGTATAATTAAAATGTGTTTGAGTCGATTATTAAGATTAATATTATGCTTGGAGATTTTGCTAATACATTGTAGTTTGTTATATCTCAAGAGCTACCTGTTGTGATTACATAATCTTATTTTCCTTTTTTTTACTTAAAACGCCTCACCACATTGTTTGTCACAATTTGTCCTTTTTATCCATCAAAAACTTTTTTACATAATTGGTACTAAAAAAGAAAGATGTTATTACATATATTTTTCCACTCAAAACTGTGCCATACTTTATTATACCCGATTTATAAACTATAAATAATGTTTGTTTTTATTTTTAATACTTGAAACTGTTCCTAGCCATTTTTAAGGATAGCCAATAAACATAAAATCTTGATAAAAATATATTCTTAATTCAGCACCTCCTTTATCATAATACCCAATTCGTAATTTACCATCTTTTTAAGAAACTCATGATCTTTTTTTATAAAAACTCTTTCTTCTTGATTTTCCCCCACATTGACTCGATTTCGCTTCACCTGATTCAACTCATTTAACCATTTTATTTTATCTCGCTCCCAATTTATTACTATAAGTCGATTCACTCACCTCACACTATCTTTTGCTAACACAGGCATTGGTCTCATTTACTAACCCTTCTATTTAAAAAAAATATATTTTTCTCTTCTTCTCCCTGATAAACATGCTTCTTTTACTTGTTCTCTCCTCTATGTTTCCCAAATAAATATTAAAATCTCAATTCCCTCTGATCACATCTAAAAAGTTTACTCTCTCTCCTATTATTTAAAATTTTCCCAAAATGAATTTACTTTCCTCGTATTCATGCAATCTCTTCTCTCCTCAACTAACCATCCATTATTCCTCAAACAAACTTTCCCGACCTTTTACGGTCTAAGCGTTATACTATTTTGTTCCACTAATTCTCCATTATATCTATTTTTTTTCTCTACTTTCACATAACCCTGGCATTTATTCTTTTTATTTCTATATTCAACATTTTTCAATTTTATATTATCTACACATTCACCGCCGTATCCATTTTGGTCAGTAATAAAATTATCGCTCTTAATTTTAAATTAAGGTTCTAAATAATTTAATTCACATTAGCGCACTATTATGCTGTTCTCTCCATATAACCTCAATATTAAATTTAAACATATTTGTCCTGAATTTTTTGTTCGCCTAAATAAATGCAGACGTTCTTTTCTACACTAGTAGCCCTTTTTTCCTTAGTTACATACATCCCTCTATCATTTCAATTCAATAAAGTAAAATTTGTCACTACACATTTATTTATTTCTGTGCTGTTTGTATTACGGAAAACATGGCACACATAAAAATTTGCATCTTTTTCCCTTCCAGCACTAAAATTCCGCCGATAATTTCCCTTTCTCCCACATTAATATTTTTTCTAATAATATGAGTGTCTCTAACATTCATTTTTATTCTTGCGTTGGCGCTATCTTTGTTCTTTAATACGATACAATATTTTTCCCAACTTTGTTTCAAATAGTTTATTATCAAACACTAATCAAAAATTTCAGAAATTCAAAAATACTCCTTTTTTTACCAAACACTAATGTTGCTTAAAAGCCCAATTTTGGTCGATTTTCTAAACCACCCGATTAGCAAAAATAAATTATGTAAGCTTCGAGATTTGGCAAATAGATGTCCAAGCATTTCTGCCAGCTATGAGCAAAATTCTAATGCTTACATAATGTTATTTTGGTTATAATCTTATTCGGACCGTTTTTTTAAATTGATCTGAATCTGGTTTTTAAGCAACACTAAAACACCACACATTTAAAAAATTAATCCACATATTTGTTATTATTAACCAAGCAGTCCTGCATCCATTTTATTATGCATGTGTAATCGGGGGCGTCCACTAGCTTTTACAATCTCTGAGGGCTCAAAAAATTTTTGAAATAGATTTTCAAGATGTTTTGCTAATATATTCAAAATTATTTTTTTTATTATGGCGCACTAATTACTGCGCTCCCTCCCCAGTGACCTTATTGCGTGTAATCTTTGTAGTCAAGACTAGGTATAATTCATTTTATTATCACGATGCTTTGATTGCTCATTAAAAAACCTTTCTTTAAAGAAGATAGTTGAATCAAATTTTTAATTCTAAATATTTTTTAAAAAAGTTCTAATATATAATTAATCTTTTGCAATTTCTATAGATAAAAAATCTCTCAAGTTGAAATCACAATTTTATTATAACTAATCCTCAAATATTTTTGCTAAAAAATTTTCTGAATATTTTTTTCTAATTCAATAGAATCTGAAATTTAATAAACTAATAAGACTTTTATAGATAAACGATTGTTGTGACTCTACATTCAGCGAAGACCATATTAAGATTTTTTACCATAACTATTACCGAGATCCCATTAGCTAATACATATCAGTGTAACTTTTCTGAGCATTAATTATTCTCACGTTTGAGGAGTGTTTCAATTTTAATTTTGAGCGATTAAATAGGTCAATTTTAAAATATGAGATGTAATATAGTTTTTTGCAGGGATGTGAACCCTTCGACAAAAAAAAAGGATACGGGTTCGGGCACATAAATTAAATTTGAAAGGATCCGGGTCCAGGGTCGGGTACAGGGAACATAAAAATAATGATTCAAAATAAGATTATTTTTTATTCATTTATTATTATACTTCAATATATACATATTCATAATTTACAAATGAAAAATTTTAAAATGAAATAATATATATTTTAAATGTTTTATTCTCGCACAGTTATAATATCTTCTAAAATATCATCTTGAGATTTCCACGTAAAGTAAACAATGTATATTTCAAAGATATTAATTCACGTTTTACCCTTACCTAAAATATATAATTATCTTTACAAAATTATTGTACTAGTGTCGCCGGTACAGCCATGAAGATTCTAGATAAGATATATAATTCTGAATATATTGAAGAATTTTCTTCCCATAATTTTAAAATATAAATATTCTTATTTATTCTCTTAACCTATGAGAACTTTACTATTAAAGATACAAGCATTTTTTGATCCTCCTTTCTATCTGATGATAATTTGATTTTTTTTTCTCTATCTAAAAGTAAAATTTCAAGATCATCAATGTTGCTATCATCATTATTATTATCACTACAACCAATAGGGATTGACGTAGCCTCCAATATATTGTAAATAATGGAGTTTTGCTTATGCCATAAATCCTTTAGATGGTCTTTAGCCATTTGTTTTTGCTCAATACTCAATAAAACTTGATATCGAGGGTCTAAATGTATAGAAGCGTATACAACACTGCATGTTTTCTAATATTTCGTATAAAAAGGGCTGTAAATTTTTCTAAATCTAATCGGCATCTAATAAACATAATTGTTCTGATTGTAATCTAAATATTGTTATTTAAAGGAACTAATACACTAGTAAGGTCCTTTATTTGGCATCAATCATCTTCCGACAATATGACTTCACATGCTTCTATAATAAAATCATTACAGAAATCTTTCAAACTTAATCGTTCTAGCATCATACAAATTGAGGACCAACGTGTTGTGCATTATCATTTAAATTAAAATATTATTTCTTGTACTACAAAATAATTCACTTTCAAAATAATCAACATATTTCTATAACATAGAATATTAATAAATTTACATAATAAAATATTATTACACTGAAAAATAATTTATGATATCAAATCTCTAAATAAAATGGAAGTTCAGGAAGAAAATTGAAAGAAAAACGTGAAGATAAAATAAATGATTCCACAAAAAAGTGAATAAAATTTTACAAAATTATATTATTTTTTAAAAATATATTTATGACACCTAGAACCCTTGGACCCTCTACTTTTAAAAAGGGTCTGGGTCCGGGTTCGGGTTCAGCTAAAATACGAGGGTTTAGGAGGTTTCAGGGTCCGGGTTCGAGTTTATATCCCTGGTTTTTCGGCATTTTTCTTTTACTTCTAGTTATTTTTAATATTTTCGCTCTTATTTTTTTGCAATCAATTTTTTCAATTTTCTGTTATTTTTTTTAAATATATCCATTTTTGTCATCATTTGTCAATTTTTCTTCTAATTTTTTTTTTTCATTTCTTAAAATAATTATTTATTATTTTCCCTGTCTTCTTTCTTCAATTCACTTTTTTTGTCAACTTAACCACTATTTTTTTTTCCTTTTTTTAACTTCCATCTTATTACAATTATAGGAAATATGGATTATTTTAGTAATAATTTGCTTTTAAATTTAATGAATTTATAATTAAATTTAAAACTATAATTTAATTATAATATTGCAATCTAGACAACTGGAAGCTTAGAAACCCGGACCGGAACTGGTCGAAAAAATAGTCTTTTCCTTAAAATCCGGTGTTGATTTAAATGTTATAACTTATAAATAGGGCCTTATTATTTTCATCTTACCAAACTCGGATCAGGCCAAATGAATTAGTATCGGTAAATGATCCTCGTTCCTCCTTCAAAATTTCACATTTTCCTTATTTTGCTTACAACTCATTTACCTTTGAAGATCAATTAGGATCAATAAGACTCTAAATATTGGCATAGGTTTTGCTAATCGATCCTCAAGTCGTTCCGTCAACTTCACGGACCTATTTAATTGCATGTTTTTTTGTCACCAGATTATTACAATAATTTTATGTTTAAAAATTAGATAAACGGTTAAAGAAAAAATTGATTGGCACAGTCCTAAATTTTTTTTTATTAATATGATAAATTATTGGCCATAATTGGGGAATTTATAAAATTAATTAATGCGCATTTTAATTTCGTTAATAATTTAATTGCATGTTTTTTTGTCACCAGATTTTTATAATAATTTATGTTTAAAAATTAGATTGTACGGTTAAAAAAAAAATTAATTTTTTTTCAAGTTTTTTTGTCACTTGATTATTATAACAATTTTCGGTTTAAAAATTATAATGTACGGTTAAAAAAAAATTGATTGGCACAGTCCTAATTTTTTTTTTATTAATATGATAAATTATTGGCCATAAAAATTGGGGTATTTATAAAATTAATTAATGCGCATTTTAATTTCGTTAATAATTTAATTGCATGTTTTGTCACCAGATTTTTATAATAATTTATGTTTAAAAATTAGATTTGTACGGTTAAAAAAAAAATTAATTTTTTTTCAAGTTTTTTTGTCACTTGATTATTATAACAATTTTCGGTTTAAAAATTATAATGTACGGTTAAAAAAAAATTGATTGGCACAGTCAAAAATTTTTTTTATAAATATGATAAATTATTGGCCATAAAAATTAGGGAATTTATAAAATTAATTACGCATTTCAATTTCGTTAATAATTTAATCGCATGTTTTTTTGTCACCAGATTATTATAATAATTTATGTTTAAAAATTAGATGTACGGTTAAAAAAAAATTAATTTTTTTTCAAGTTATTTTGTCACCAGATTATTATAACAATTTTATGTTTAAAAAATATAATGTACGGTTAAAAAAAAATTGATTGGCACAGTCAAAAAATTTTTTTATTAATACGATAAATTATTGGCCATAAAAATTGGGGTTTTTATAAAATTAATTAATGCACATTTTAATTTCGTTAATAATTTAATTGCATGTTTTTTTGTCACTAGATTATTACAATAAATTTATGTTTAAATATTAGATGTATTATTTTAAAAAAAATTATTTTTTTTTCAAGATATTTTCGAATGAATTATTGTTACTAATTGTTCGAATCGAACACAACCAATTTTTTTTTTATTCTTGTTAATGAGATATAAATAGTTTGATTCGTTCGAACCAAATTTTATTATAAGAAATAGACCCGGCAATCTAACTACCAGGGTTTGGTCAGATCGAATACCTATCTGCAAGGATCTAGTGCTTATATTATATTATTACAATACCCCCCCCCCTTTCCTTTTTTTTTTACAAGAACAAAATTTAATCTGGCTTTGGATAAATTTACTGCTTAATAAAGCAACAAACAAAAACATGCAAATCATCCATCTTACACACTAAAATATATAAATATACTTTTTAAGCTAGTGTTGTTAAAAAGCCCGATACGGGTCGAATTTTAAAAACGACTCGATTAAGATTATAACCAAAATAATAAATGTGTAAGCGTTATTTTGATCATATACGGCAGTTAGGTTTGCGTCTTTTTACTTGTCAAAATCTTGAGTCTTACACGATATTATTTTGGCTAAAATCTTGCCGTTTTTTAAATCGACCCGAATTTTTTTTAACACTCTTTAGTTAGGGTAATGATTTATAGCCTTTGAACGTTATAGATTTTATTTTTATTATCTGTTTTATTAAAATATTAGCGTCGTCCCTTATCTACAAAAAAAAAAATCATTTCCAAGTAGCGCCTGTGGCTCAGTTGCTATCTATAGACGTTGATTGAGAAATCACTTAACAAACCTCGATCTGGGTTCGAATCTAACAAGGACAATATTTCTTTTACTTCTGAAGCCAACTGGGTGGTTCTGATACGGGCAAATTATGTATAGAATATGGGAAGTGACTAAAATAAAAATGGGTCATATTTAGAAAGTCGACGGTCCTATCTTTATCGAGGACCGCAGTCCTGGCCGGTCTTTTAGTAATTTTTAAGTTTGCCTTACTATTCAATTCATAAAAATTTTTTGTGTATATTTTATTTTATATATTCTATTCTAGAGGAGTTACCTTATTTGTTTTTATGATTCACTTTCCTTTTTTTAGTTCGTTATTTTGCAATTGCTGTACTATGAAAACGATAAGTGTGTCAAAAAAAAAGCGATTTTACTTTTAAAATGAATATTTGTAGTATTTATTACGGGAAAACGTATATATTTAAAAAAAAAAATTAAAAGACCAATCATTCAGCCTTTTCATTTAGGACCACGGGTTGGGCCGGTTTTATTTGAGCACCATGGCCTGATCCGCTTGTATCGGGCCATATATATATATATATTTGGACCGAAAACAAGACCGTGACCTTCACTAATCTTATTGCTATTTAAAAAAAGTCTTTGCTTAGCAAATTGTACAACACTACATATCTTTTACACATTTATTTATAATTACGTATTGAAAAAAATAAAATAGATATACTTTTATATTTAATATTTTCGCAAACAAGATGTTTTTCGTAAAATAAAAAAATTTAAACTAAACACCTTAAACTGGAAGTGATCCGATACATTTACCCTTTGCACAGACAAATAGGAATATATTATTCCCCTTGTAAAATTGACTTCCTCTGCGCTCTTTTCATTTCTATCAGTAGCATCTCTTTCTAACTCGACTTTTCGAAAAGTAAATATTTATGATTTTTTTTTGTTGTTATTATTAAAATTATTATAAAAAACTAATATACATAGTTGGCATAAAAAAAACTTTTTATTAGCTGCTTATATTTACCAACACATATATATATATTTTGTATATAAAGCAACCATTTTCATTCAAAACTATTTTGGACAATTAATTTTTCAAAATTTAAAAAAGACATATACCATTATTTTACTCTGTTTTTCTCGGGAACTAGGAAGGTAAAAAAGAAATTATGTATTATTTATAGCGGAGGCCCGTAGAGGTTTTAATTCTAAATCGGACCCGGGTTATATATATATTTTATTTTGTCATTTTCAAACTCGACCCGGGTCTTTGCCTACCCAAATTTTTTCAAATTTTACTATTTTACTCGTGCCCGCGGATCCATGGTTCATACCATTTTTCTTTTAACCTAAATATTATTATACACTTATAGCGTTTTATACCTTTTAAAAGGCAGTATTTTGAACGTTAACTTTCAAAAGTAGTGCTCTACAGTTACCTCTTCGCAATTTTTTTAAGAGTAGCACACTATCGTTACTTTCCAAAAAGGAGCGTTAAAGCAGGGGTTTGACTAAACTGCGAAAGCTAGTGTTTTTAATTGGTTGGTTGTGTAGAGCCCAGACCCGGGGTTTGGGTCGAAAATATCGACTAAACCAGCTCTGAGCATGAACTCCGAGCTCGACCCTGGGTCCAGACCCGGGGTTCAGACCCGGCACAAAAACCCATTATTTTTTAAAAAAATAATGAAGAATTTTATTTAAAGAATATTATTATTTTATAAAAAGTAAATCTATATTATATATATCAATTTTGTGTAAATTTGTGAAATCATTATTTAGGCTCTGCATACATAGGCAAATCATGTCAAAATTTTGTTCAACCATTAGGGGAAATGTGCCATAATGGCCATGTTTGAAGACTGGCCATCACCCTTTAACTTTTTATCTATTGGACCGATTTCTCTCAAAATTGGTCAAAATGTGTATATGTTATTAATACTTAAATTAGTGTATAATTAATTTTTATATACCTAAAAATTGAAGAAATATATAAGATTGGTCTTTTGCAAGTATTTCATATTTATAATATAATTCTTAAATAATATGTTATAGCCAGTAAATACATTTCATCGAAGCTTTTATTGTGAATGTCGTTTATCGCGAATGTCATTTATCGCGAATAGATTTTATAGCGAAACCTTTATCGCGAAACCTTTAAAGCGAATACATTACCGCGAATACAATATAGCGAAACAACTATCGCGAAGATATTATAGCGATAATTGCTAATAATGACTAATTTATTTCGAAACATTTTTTTATAATTATATTAATTGAATAAATTTTTTTTAAAAATAGGATTGTGACGATTTTGCACTCAATTTTGAATTATCTTATGATATTTATGCCTATATAGAACTCTTATGCTAAAGATAGGCCTGCCCCCTTATCCAAAAAAAAAGTGTAAGATATGTAAGAGTAAATAAATAAACCCCGGTTTCACATGTATTTTAATTTCATTTTATTTGAAAATAATGAGTGAAATTGCTTACAAATTGAGTAGAAGCGTTTAGAGGTGTTTTCGTAAAAACACTGTTATTTAAATGAACCGGTATATTTTTTAAAAATGGTGAAAACTATTTTACGTTTTTTAATTTTTTTATATTGTTTAGTTATACTTGTGAAATAAGCAAAAATATAAAACTAAAATAATTTATTATCAAATGATTTATTTCCATAATAATTTTTTGGAAAAAAACAGATGGAAGGGGGAATGAAAATATAGTTTTTATTTTTTAATAAGGATAAATATTTATAAATAAAATATACGGATGTAAAATAAAGTTATTTATAGTATAAATATTATAAATATATTTTTTTTTTGAATTCCATCTGGGAAAATAATTTTTTATAGCTTAACATTTTATTTTTTAGTGATTTTTAAAAAATATCAAAAAGTAAATCTATTTTTAACTAAAAAATAAAGAATATACATTATTGTATTCTAATTCTAAATAGATTGTTTTTTCACTGCGTTGAATCACTCCTTTCCAGAATGCAATTATCTGGCCGTCCCTTATTCTCTTCTCTGCTTAATTGTTCAGGTCATGAGTTTCTCGAAGCCATTCCGTCTGTTAATCTGCAATTAAAATTGGATAAAAACGAGCTCACACATGCGATCGGTATCCGATTTGTCTTATTACCCAACCCCACATATGTTCAGGTTGCGGTTCTGCAGTTTTGGGCAATGGTAGACATAGTCTTCATTGTCGCTCATGTAAAGGTCGAATTGTAAGACATAATCTATGCAATTCTATCATCCTTAGAGCTCTTAGATCCGCTCAAATCCCCTCCTCTCTTGAACCATCCGGTCTTTTCAGATCTGATGGGAAACGGCCTGACGGAATTTCGCAAATTCCTTGGAAACGCGGTCAATTCCTGGTCTGACTACTCTTGCATTGATCCACTCGCTCCATCAAATCAAATAGTCAATATACTCGATAAAAAGGAGACACTCAAAATAGCGAAATATTCTGAAATCTCTCAAGAATATATTTTCATCCCCATTATTTCTACCCTTACTACTTTTGGGAAATATGCCTTATCCTTTTTCAAGGAACTCGGCTCCCACATTCGTCAACTAACCGGTGAACCCCGCGAGGGCTACTTCTTAAGGCAAAGGCTCGCCATCGCAATACACAAGGCTAATTATATTAGCTTCATAGGCAGTCTCATCCCAAAAGATTATCCTTCCTAACCTCAATACTTTTTATAAGACCGTCACAAACATATTCTCCAATATTATATTTATTTATTTTTTAAATGTTTTTTTTATAATGATTTTTATATAACATATTAGATGAATTTCGATTTTGAGATTACAAATTAAATACTATTATAAAACCTTATATATTGTCTTATATAAAAATATAATTTAAAATCTGAATAATAAATCTTTTTTATTTTCATTTTCATTTTTATTTTATAAAATAAATTTAAAATGCTTAGGTAAAATTTTTTATATATTATCTTTTATTTGTAGTGAGATCCATTTTCCTATGATATAAATAACTTATAAAAAATTAAATTTTTAGATATATTCAATAATAAAGAAATATACATTAATAGTTGAATTATCTTTTATCTCATAATACGTTTAAATCTTTTAATATAATTATATTAAAGATATTAATAATTAAATTTTAATTTCCAATAATATTAAATCCGCAAGATGGCGTATTATTATTTTATAAAAAATTTAAAATATTTTTTGTTTTATTATATTGTATTATTACTTAAAAAGTAAGCTAAATTCCATATCTTATCTATCATTCAAAAAATTGCAAGAACAAATATAGGTTTTTATAAATTACATATGATCACATTTTAATGGGTAAAATAAGATAAATTAATTTTTTTAAATAATTTTTGCATACTTTCTATTGATATTTTTCCTAAATAGCCAATTTGTTTTTATTGCCATTATTACAATAAATGAATAAGATATCACAGAAAAATTTTATCGAACATATAATGTTTGTAGATTATTTACACCTAGCATAAAAATGTATAAAAATTTACCATTTTTAGGGGAAAAATATAATTTAGATAAGGGATTCCGGATATTTTAAATGGCGTTATATTTTATTTGTAAAATGATATATTGATTTTTAGGAAAGAATGTAGAGGGGGGAGGGTTAGGTGTATTTGTTCAAATTTTCAGTTGATTTCTAAAGACTTTGATTTGCTATTCTGAGATATAATAACTTGGGGTTTTAACGTAGGCTAATATCTAATGAGAATTGTTGGTGGGTTAAGCGTCGATGTATTTCTTTTTCTATAAATTTTGGTTTGTGAAGTTAATCATTATAGTAATATAATTTGATTGTTTAAATGACCATGAAAATGGTCTTTAAGTGTTGCTGAGTTCAATAATACAAATAACATTGAACTGGATGTTATAAATTATATTATGAGAAAGTTGAAATACATTATAAATGCTTAATTATTATTTTTCCATTAAGCAAATTTTTTTATAAATATAATACTGTAATATCTTCATCAGCTTCAATTGAAAGGTTATTTAGTCTTGGTAAAATGCTATGTATGCCAAAATGGCAAAGGTCTAATACTAAATTATTTGAAAATTTTGATTATCTTATAAAATAATAAATCTATTTAAAATACTCTTTTACAAATTAATATTTCAACTCCCATTAAAAATACTAGTCTCCCTTCCCTATCTATAAGAATGGGCTATTACTGATATTAAAATCCCTGATATATTAACTCATCATTAAATATTTTATTAATTATTGTAAATATTCATTCTTACTAAATGAATATGTTATGTTCTTCACAAATGAATAGTAAAAACTATATTTTATAAACTATTCTAATTTGATTTTGATATTTTGAAAAAAATACTAGTATCTATATCTAAGATTAATTTTTTCACATCTGTATCTAGATTCTTAAGGACCTACCCATGTAATATTTTTCTTACGTGATTATCCATTTCTGATTGAATATATTAAGATATATGACGACTAGAAAAAAATCTATTGTTATTGAGGTAAAAAAAAGGTAAATGAATGAATGGCATCATGTGAAATATTTATATAAATATGATTTTAATTATATAAATATAAATTAATCATTTACTATAATATTTAGATAAATCAAGATAAATAATATTTAAATTATTTTATTTAAATAGTAACTTGGTATTATTGAATATCATTTGACACATAATAATATTTTATATAGTAATATTAACAATATACTTTACCGGCATTATTTTGTTTTAAATATTATACATAGCCCTCCACCATGCGTATTATGATAATTCAGCTTATTAAAATGAATCTTTAATGTTTCAGGAGTAAATTCTGATATATAACATTTTTAAATGATTATATTTTTTTATAATAGTATTAACACGCCAACTTGCGGATTTAATATTAGCGGAATTTAAAATTTAATTATTAATATCTTTAATATAATTATATTAAAAGATTTAAACGATTTATTATGAGATAAAAGATAATTCAACTATTAATGTATATTTCTTTATTATTGAATATATCTAAAAATTTAATTTTTTATATTATATCATAGGAAAATGGATCTCACTACAAATAAAAGATAATATATAAAGCAGCTATATTTAAAATAGATTTCGTTATTAAAAAAATGTATATATCTTAATTTTAATTAATCTCAAAATTTTTATTGTACTTCACAGATATTTTTTTTAAACCGAAGACCATTTTCTGAGCTAACTATTCATTTTTTTTCAATCTTAACGTTTCAGTTTTATACCCGAACAATTTAGTATTTTTTTTTCTAGGAAATTAAGTCTTTTATCTTGGCATTAAGAAATTTCTGAACATTCAATATTTTTTTATGATCGTTTTATAGTGCGCACAAATTGAGCGTTTCTAACGCTGCGTTGCAAACGCAACATTTTAAATAAGTTTTTAAAATAAAGGATTTGTCTTTTGAAAATTATATTATCGTCTGCGTTCTTTTTCTTTAATTTCTAAATATTCCTTTTTAGGATATAAGTTAGATATTTATATTACATTTTACATAATATTACAAACCAAATAATAATAAAAAGTAATGAAAAAGCAAACCTATTTGAGTTTTTTAAAATGGTTGCTAACGCCAAACTGTAATTTTACCAATTTGCACGAGGTCATTTGAAATGCATTATTTCCGCTTGAAACCCAGCGTTTGAAACGCTCAATTTGTGCGCACTATTAAGCAGCCTCTATGACAGGGTTTTCTCTGGATGCCCCCCCCCACTCAAAAACCTATGCCTATCCCCCTAAAAAATTCTAACCACCTTCGGCGGCGATCTTTTTCATTTTTAATTAACCCTTTTAATTATACTGGTACTTTCATAAATTTTAAAAAGAATAACTTAAATTATTTTAGTTCTACTATCAACTATCAAAATATTGTGAATATATCCCTCCATTTACAATTAAAGCATTATTATAACATATAGTTTGGCCTGAATATGAGTTTGCTGAGAATGTCTAACCCTTTTAAATTACATTTAAAGGGATGGGGGAAAGTTTTATTCGGAAAATTATGTCTATGATTGTTTGCAATATATAGATTTGGTCGATGATCAGCAATATAATTGTATTGTAATAGGTCTACAATAAAAGTATTAATTTTTATAACAATATATTTTGTCCTATTTTATCATAAAATTTAATAGATACCCCCCCCCCTCCCAAATAAATTTATCCTACTCCCCTCAATAAAAATAGGATGCAAACTGTTCCTAACCCTCCCCCTCCCGTTCATGTAGAGGTTGGTTTTAGGTTATAGTAATGGCGTTATGTTCGAGGGTTGATTTATTTAACGCGGCGTTATTACAAAATTAAGACAATAAATAGGTATAATTTTATAAATTGCGATGCGTTGATAAAAAAAATAGGCGATACGATTATAAGAATAATAGCAAATTCGATAAAAAGGTAATGATTTTTCTTAAATATTATATATAATAATTATCCCTATTTTAGCTTTATCTTAAATTAGGAATCAGCTGTAATAACGCAACGCTCGAACATAACATTAATTAGACCTTAAGGACGTGTCATAGGTCAGCTTAATTTGAATACTTAATTAGAAAGTATTTGATTCGAGCACACCCTATTTTGGTTTATTTTAAGTATTGGCAATTTTCTTATTTTTTTTCTCGTTTTTTTTTGGTTGTTTTCTTTCGTTTTTTTTTGCTAAAAACTTTTCTTTTGCTTTTTTTTGGCTATTTAACCGGCTAGGACACGGCCTAAGAATTTATTCTGAGTGTTTAAGGATTTTTATTTCTGAGCATTACAAATTTAAATATATTTAATTTACCTCTTTGATATGGCGCAATTCTGATTGCATAAAGATATTATTTTCTAATCGCTTAGAAATACACCTATATAAAATCTGGTCATTCAACATAAACACCCTCAATTTTTAATGTGAATATAAGGAAAATTAACAATTGTACAATTCTAAACAGTATTTTTATGCATTTGTCTCTGACACAGCTGGTTATTATGGCGATAATGCCCTAAGTTTCTTACAGGCTCTTAAGAAAAAAAAGGTTTCCATCCATTCTCAGAAAGATATAAACCTTTGAATTTTTTTTAAAAGTAACTACCTCTCTAGTACCATTGCGTATAGCTATATGGAACTAATTCATGGTTTAAATTATTTGGAAAAAATTATTTTAATGAATATATTTTATATTTCCTAATAAAAATTACCATGGTCACTAAACCTTTTAAAATGATTATTATTTTTAAAAATTTTTGATACTTTTATGATATTCTTATTTTAGTTGTTATCCTGTAATTTTATCATGTGGCATATTTAAATTCCCGTTATCATCTTTATTCCTATTTTTCAAAAATAAAATTAATTTTAAAGATAAAAAAATTTTTATTAAAAAGGTTTCGATTTATCTTAAAAAATTGCATTTAACATTTTTTGTTTATTAAGGAATATTATAACATTTTTAAAAAAAAAAAAATCTAGCCAATTATTAACCAACTCAACACTCGCGATAAGAATGAAATATTTCACTTCAATACTCCTACTTTTTGTAGTGGTAAGTCTCACTTTTAACATAAATTATTAGCCAAATTAAATTAATTAAAAAGAGATCGATTAATTACATCATTTATTTATTTAATAGGTTTTGGCGGCAGCAGTGTTACAAAACGCTAAAGTGAGTGCTCAATTTGGTGCAGTATTTCTTTATGATTTCGTAAAGAATGAAGTTTATGATAATAATAAAATTGCTTGAATATTGAAGATTTGTTTATTCTTTTATATATATAATTAATTTTGTAATTAATTTTAATCCATTACATTCTCATACTTTTTAAATAAAAGAGGCCAATTCATGCATTCTATTAGATAAACCCTGGTTACTTACACAGGAAGAGTGATATATTATTAAATTTCATTTTTTATTATCCATATTGATAAAAGTTTCACTAATTTCAATAACGTAACTTTTTATATTGTTCAATATATAAGGGTGTATCCTGTCCTGTATGAAACAGCCGAAACAGCCTAAAACGTAAGAAAATGACAAACAAAAAATGAAACAAAAGAAAAATAACAATGCCGTCAAAAACTTACAAACCAAAATAGGGTATTCTAGTTCGAAAGCTGTATCTTAAGTTGAATAAAAAACAAGGTCTGACCAAGACTCTGTCGAAGCACTTTAATTTGTCAATTTTTCTTTTAGCCCTAGAAATCACTCCTAATAAAAGGGCCAATGAAAATGGTCAGATGAGATGGCGCAATTCTGATCCTATATAAAATCCGGTCAACATAAACTTTCTCAATTTTTACTGTTAATATAGGGAAAATTAATAATTGTACTATTGTAAACAATATTTTTATGCATTGCCTCCATAGATAGTTATTATGGTGATAAGGTCCTAAGTTTCTTATATAGATTCTTAAGAAAACAAAACTTTTCCATCGATTCACAGAGAGATATTAACCTTGAATTTTTTTTATAAAATAACTACCTGTCTAGTCCCATTGTATATAGCTATATGGAACTAATTCATCGATATTTTAAATATTTTATATTTTCTAATAAAAATTACCATGGCCACTAACCTTTTAAATGATTAGTTTTAAAGATTTTTGATACTTTTAAGATATTCTTATTTTAGTTTTTATATCATAAAATTTTATCACGTGTAATATTCAAATTCCCGTTTTCTCTTTATTCCTATTTTTCAAAAATAAAAAAATATTTCTATAAGGCCATTTCCAGGCAGAACGTTCTTTTTTTCAAAGCGGTTTTTGGGTAATGTTACTAGTGTTGTTAAACGGCTCGTTTTGAGCCGATTTTTAAAAACTAACTCACTACTTCATCCAGAAAAATATTACCCAAGTATGAAGATTTTGCTTATAAAAGGAACAAAGGTCTAGACATATATTATCAAAATATTGAGAAAACCAATAAAATTATAACGGACCCCAAGGAACAATTGGCTATATGAAGACCATTACATGAATCTTTATAGAACGAGGTGATCACGACCAACATGTGATTATCCTTTCAAACCACCCAATCGGTACCTAAGCAATAAAAATATAATCAATACCATTATAAAAGATTAAAACGCATAAAGCTGTCTGAATCGATGGTATCTTTGCGGAATTCTGATAGATGCTGATCTAAGAGCTAGTCTATTGCTTCCCCGTTTTAATGAGATATAGAATACAGGCAATTTCCCAGAGGAATGGATGACTTCGATAATACTAAATTTCCCTAAAAATAAGAACCCGAATAGCCTGAAGGACTACAAAGGTATTGCACTAATCCCGGATACCCAAAATGTTCACGTATATTATAGCAGTCAGGATCAAACCAATCTTCGATATGAACCTCTCAATGGTCATCACATCGTATAGGAAGAGTAGAAACACGACTAAACTAACTATTGGCGCTTAAGGTTATTCTGGAGAAAGCTAGAATCCATAAGTCCCCCATTCATAAAATCACAATCATTTAAGGCCAACAAAGGGCTGAAACAAGATTGCATTCTATCACCTATGTTATTGTAATAATGAACGATATTCTGAATAAATCCTTCAAACAAGAATATGCTCTAAACACTCTGGGTCAATAACACGATAATAACATACACAACTCTCTAATTTTTCAATTCTATGTAGATGATGGATGCATTTGCGAACTCTGAGTAGCTAAGAAATCTCCTGTCATTGTTTGTTAATACTTGCTATGAATACGGATTAAAGGTTAATTACTCGAAGACAAAGTTAATCGCTTCCAATCATTTACATCTAACACAGACCCCTTTAACTTTGATGATAATGTGGTAGAAACGGTGTCAGATTTTTAGTACCTAGGAACCAGAATAATGTCATTAGGCACCACAATATGCCAGATCCCGATGCCATCAGCTGACGAAATAAATATAAGACTCTTCAAATCCCTAATTCTACCCATCTTAACATACGAATTAGAGACGCGGCAGGACACTAAGAGCAATATAAAAGCATCCCAGACCTTTATAAACAAATGTTTAAGAAGAATTACTAAAACATACCACCCATCAAACTCAACTCTCTGGAACAGGTGCGACATCCTACCTATAAACGACTCATTCCTTTGAGAAGATTAGAATTACTTCGTTATTGCTTAAGACATTCACAAGAAAATATGAAATTTTCGTCCATAAAATGGAACCCAGATTATGGGAGGCAGAGAACACCCAAATACTATTGGCTGGCAAAATGTATGAAAGACATGGACTTGATCAATTGTTAACAGATTTTTTGGCACTCAGCAAAAACAAAAAACATCTAAAGGAACATCTATAATACATGCTTAAACATGGTCTGAACTAGAGCAGAAATCGTTTATTTCCTCTCCTCTTCTCCCGGGTTGAATGACAATTTATGTTTCGGCACAGGTTATATTGGAATTATGTAAAGAATGAAAAAGGGTGAGGGTGATGACCCTCCCCCCTCTATTACTCCTTTCCTTGTCATTTTCCATAGAACCGTGAATAATTATAATGATAGGGATTCTCGTTCACTATAATAATGATAATGTGGTAAACATAATGAGGATCCCGAGCATCACTTGCTTAGTGCAGATAAGGATTTATGGGGGCATACGATATTGACTCTAGTGAACGACAAAAATCAAGAAGGTAAAAAGTAGAAGGAAACAGGAAAAAATCAAACAAAACGATATTAAGCTCCTTAGGATAATGGGTTTCAGGGAACTCTCCAAAATAAACAATATCCACATCAACTTTATCTCTTTTTTTTAGTTTTTTCGCTATTTTAACACGCTAGATGGAAAAAATAAATTTGATAGAAGTAGTATTACTTGCATCTTGTGATCTCTGCCTTGTCTATGTTTTAATGTCAACTAAAAATTAACAGTGTAAACAATAAAGTAGAATTATATACATGCAATTTTTAGGGATTTACCGATATGTTTTATCGGATCGGGCCGATATTTCACCCATTTTATAATTCGGTTATCGGTCAATATTATAAAATTTTCCGATCCGATAAAAAATGGCGTTTTTAACAAAAATAAAATGGTATAAAATTCTTTTAAAAAGTTATATCTAAAATTATTTATTTTTATAAATAAAATCGCAATCTATTTTTATGTTTATTTTTTTAATAATAAAATTAATTAATTAACATTCTGCCATATTGTTATTTTTTTGCGCATTCTATTTATAGTGTGCGATAATTTCTTCAGAATCTCTTTTAGTGAAGCTGGTGATATTGACAGTTACCATCGCCGCAGGCTGACTTCTGATAATTTGGAAATTTTGGTTTTTCTAAAAAGAAACCTTCGGTATATTAATGTTAAATATTATTTAAATATTTATTTCAAATTTTATAATATATTTGTTTATTACTTATTATGTATATAAATGGTATTACTTATTATATAAAAGTAATTTAAAAATAAAAATATTTTATATACCCATAGAATTGCAATTGAATTGAATATAATCAATAACTGATCATTATAATATATTTAAATGATATATATTTAATTATTTAGATTATAGATGTTATACTGGTTAAGGGAGCAAGCTATAAAGCCTAGCACTAAGGAAGATAATGGCAAAGTATACGAATAATAAGGAGTTAAATAAATAAATATTAAAAAAAAGTTGATTGACTTTTGATAAATAAAATAATAAATAAACGGGATGATTTTGTAAAAAAATAAATATATAAGCGCGAAAAAAAAAGCGATTATTATTATTTTTATGTACGATTTCATATTTTAAGGAAAGAAAAATAAAGAAATAAAATTATCTATTTTCGTGCTTCAAGAGAAAAGAAATATTGTAGTAAAAAAAAGTTGTTTTGATATTATGTTTTGATATAGGTGACCCCGACGTATTACGGGAAAAAGAGAAAATTGGAAAACATAGTAGAAGGTTTTAAAAGAATCAGAAAACCAGTATTTTTAACATTGGAAAACATAAAGAAGGTTTTAAAAGAATCAGAAAATAGTATTTTTTAAATTAGAAAACATAGTAGAAGGTTTTTAAATAATCAGAAAACCAGTATTTTTAAAATTGAAAAACATAGTAGAAGGTTTTAAAAGAATCAGAAAACCAGTATTGTTAAAATTAGAAAACATAGAAGGTTTTAAAAGAATTGGAAAACCAGAATTTTTAAAAATAAAGAAAACGTTTGTAGTAGAAAGTTTTAGATAAAAGATAGAAAACCAGTGTAAAAAAAAAAGCAAAAAAAAGTTTTAAAAAAAAAGGAAAACCGGATTAATAAACTTCGTGTACGGCATACAAAATATATGTATAGTTGCATCTTTAGTTTGTTTACAGTATTTTATTTATTAACGTTGCAAATAGTTAAACTCTTTATATTAAAAGTATTAGTTAATTTTATCTTTTGTAGAGAAAAAATGAAAACTTTTAAATTTATAAAGTGTTGGGAATTACAATATAATATTGTGGGAGCATTAGTCATATTAGTGATCTGGATGTGTAGTTTGATTTGGGGAAGAAGAGTTAAAAAGAGTTGTAGCGTGAGAATAAAGGGCCAGACATTAACAATAGAGGGGCATAATGGAGAGGAGGATGTTATGGGAAAGGTAACATGGTTGATGGTTCAAGAATTAATTAATGGATGGACAGAGAGTGAAGTAGATAAATTTATAAGTAAACCTGATGGGAGAGATGCATATAATGATAACAGATTGGGACCTTATAGGGGACCAATGAAGAATTCTCAGGGACGGAGAGGAGGAATAAGACCCAGTTTTGATTCGAGAGTGAAGGGAAGAATGAATTGTTATAATTGTGGAAGACAAGGACATATGGTCAGAGATTG